GTCAGCTGCAGGGATTTGGCAGAGACTGGTGGCTGTATGGGGCAGCTTGGTTGTCACCATTAGGTCTTAGTTTAATAGGTGGCATTTTGGGTTATGTTTGAATAACACTGGGGTGTGAAAAGCTGCATTTTCTCAAATGGGCCTTACATGGTGTTTTTCTAAATAATCAAGCTATAACTGCTGTAAGGCAAGGTTGGTTAAATCATGTTATCTAGCAATTTTGTCCCATTAAATCTCTGACCCAAAATTACCCACAGCAGCATTAATTTGATTAATCCCCACAAGTCTGTAAATCTGCAATCTGTTGAATCTGAGAGAAGATTCAATAGGATCACAAGCCAGCTGTTATCTTCTCCTCAGGTTCATACTCACTGTGATTGAGGCCACAGCCTCTCTCAGCTCCTGCAGCTCCTTCTCTCTCATCTGAATTCTCTGCTGAAATTCCCTCTGTGTTTCACCCATTTGTTTCTACAGATAGGAAGCAAGATGACAAAACAAGTTTGTTTCATTAGCTGGGATCATATTCATTAATCATCCTGTCCAGGGTGGACCCCAGCCTTGGGCCCTATGCCGCCTGGGAAAGGATCCAGGCGCTCTCTGTGACCCTGACCTGGATCACTGGTTAGGAGATGGATGGATGGATGGATATTCATAAATGATTTATTGACTGTAGGTAGGATAAACTGGACTTAGACCCTTTGGTCCTGTTTCCACCTGGAATTAACATGCGTCCTGGGTGATCCAATCACAATTGGACAGTGCTAATTACAGATGTGAAGGCACCCAGGACACATTGAGGATGAATTGAGATCTGATCACTGAAACCACACTGGGAGGTGGTCTGGGCCGCATATGGCCACATTCTTACAGCAATGTGAAGGCGAATGTGTCCTGGGCTGCATTGCAGGACCGGCTACTCAACTGACGTCCTATTTGATTTATGTCAGATCGCATGTCAGTTGATAATGGGCCACTGTGTAGTAAACTGCACTGTGAACAACAATAATGCATCTTTTCTCCTGTGACACTAAAAACTGAATCTGCTGGGAATTCGGACCGTCGAACTGGAGCAACATTGAAATGTTGTCTTTGTATTTTTAACCTCGTATTTTTGCATGTGAATTCAGACCATCGAATTTCCGATGCATATTTCCAATGCATAAATATTCAATGTTAGAATTTCAGTGGCATATAAAATTCAAATTCTGATGACACAGATTTACTTCCATAAGTTTCAGTACAAATTCAATCAGAACTTTTTAAATGTGCATTTTCTGTTAATTTTTCTTTCATTTTACCAAACCAGACTTGCTCTGAGTATTTTCATAGCAATTATACTCACATGTGTTAAGACAAAAGTCATTTTTATTTAAAATAAATTTTATCATTTATATAAGAGCACTTCAGGCCTGACCTGTATCTCTGTCCTTCCTGCAGCAGCTGAGACTGTATCATGGCCTCTGTGTTCATCCATCGTACAGAGATAACAGATACACTGCTGGTCGGTACGGCAGTAGACCTCCAGGAGTTTGTCATGGTGGGAACAGACCTTGTCCAGCAGACGTCCAGTGGCATCAGTCAGCTTGTGCTTCTTAAAAGCTGGAGACTCATAGTGAGGCTGGAGGTGAGTTTCACAGTAAGAGGCCAGACACACCAGGCAGGACTTGACAGCTTTGTGTTTTCTCCCAGTACAGACGTCACACTCCACATCTGCAGGTCCAGCATAATGGTCAGCAGGAGTAGCTGCTTGTAGTCCAGTCTTCTTCAGTGTCTCCACCACTTCAACCAACATGGTGCTTCTGCTCAGAACAGGTCTGGGTGTGAAGGTCTGTCTGCACTGGGGGCAGCTGTAAACTCCAGCATGATCCTCCTGATCCCAGCAGCTCTTAATGCAGCTCATACAGTAACTGTGTCCACAGTTGATAGTCACTGGATTCTTCAGTAGATCCAGACATATTGGACAGCTGAACTGGTTCTCATCCAGTGTGGAACTGGCTTCAGCCATTTTGCCATGAGTACTGATAGGATTCAGTTTCGTTTTCTCTCACAGTCGTCTGTGTGTGAGAGTGGGAGGAACTTCCTGCTTCTCAGGCTGCAGTAGGTGTGGTTTTGGACTGAGGCCAGACTGAGAAGAGCAGACTGAGCAAACACTGGAGTTTGAATGTGTGCGTAAAACCGAACATCAGATTAACTATAGAGACACACACACAGTTTAGACTAGATAATCTGCCTGAAGTTAAGCTGGTTAGAGTCTGCCCAGTACTTGGATAGGAGACCAACTAGGAAAGTTAGGTTGCTGCTGAAGAGGTGTTAGTGTGGCCAACAAATTAGCTCAACCTGTGGTCTGTGTGGATCCCAGTGCAGTGATGGGGACACTGGGCTGTATAAATGGTGTGTCCTTTGGATGAGATATAAAACTGAGGTCCTGACTGTCTGAGGTCACATGGCTAAAAAATTGCCCACTATGACCCTATGCAATCTGGTCTCTTAATCCTTCCCTATATCAAATATTCTCTCCTGCCCCTTCACCACCTTAGTTACTGTCTGGTTTGCGTACTGGTGCAGAATGGCTGCTGTCACATCATCCTGGTGGGGGCTACACAGTGGTGGTGATTGAAGTGGCTTCCCTTTGCTTCTGTGAAACCCTTCATTCATTCATAACTCTTACTGACATTGTTTTTCCCCAAACAAGCTATATATAACTAGTTTGATTTTATACATAGAAAATATGTAGAAAGGCATTAGGGAGCAGTTCTATTGAATGAATTTATCTGTCTGTTTAGAAGCTTATCTGTTTATTCTCCACATGATGCAAATGTACTACAAGAACTTGAAGCTGTCATGTGGTTTCAGGTGTAACATGCACATATGTGCAATTATCGATAAACTGTGTCAGGTTTAGACAGAACAAGCTTTGATAAGTATTATATATCAATGTACAGATTTTTTTTTACATTGTTCAATATAATATAAAATAATATAAAGGATGCAGCACACAAATGTCATATTTTTTCATTTTGTTTCTGTATGTGTTCTGGGAGTCTCTATCTATCTATCTATCTATCTATCTATCTATCTATCTATCTATCTATCTGTCTGTCTGTCTGTCTGTCTGAGTCCCTGTGTCCTTAATGAAATGCTGAGTCACCATGACCTTGATGAAATGCTGTGTCACCATGTCCTTTATAATATGTTGAGTCACTGTGCCCCTGATGAAATGCTGGGTCACCAAGGTCAAATTGAAATGCTTTGTCACCGTGTCCCTAATTAAAGACAATGTCACGGTGACCCTGATAAAATACTGGAATCACACTTGGAATCACACATTGAAATGTTGCGTTCAAATCTGTGCTGTCCAATAAAACGGTCTTTAATGCCCAAACAAAGTCATTTTCCCCTTTATTTTCCTTCCTTGTTTTTTGGCATCTTAAAGCTTGCAGACAGTTATCATCAGAACAAACATGGTCATGTGATACAGGCAGTTGCTATGACCATGAGGAACTGCAGGAATGTAAACAGCTTGGGATTTGACCCTACAACCTCCCAGACATGGGCATGGAATTGCAGTGCTGACGTTTCAGAGACTCCCCATGACTGCATTCCCACCTCCCTTCTATACTTATGCTGCCATAGTCTTATCTGCCAGAGCTTACATATTGCACTCATCTAACCATTTGTACTGCCTCTAGTCTCCCCTACCTTGGCTAATCGCACATTTTATTTCCCCAACTCCTCCTGAGGTATGCTGCCTGGAGACCCCAAATTATCAAGGTATTCTGCCTACCCTGCTGCCGTCAACGTCGCCACTACCTGTGGCATCCTTCCGGCCTGCTCACCCTTCTGCCTGTGATGCCTTCCCTGTACGCCCTTCTGCCTGTGATGCCTTCCCTGTAAGCCCTCCTGCCTGTGATGCCTTCCCTGTACGCCCTTCTGCCTGTGATGCCTTCCCTGTACGCCCTTCATCCTGTGATGCCTTCCCTGTACGCCCTTCTGCCTGTGATGTCTTCCCTGTACACCCTCCTGCCTGTGATGCCTTTCCTGTACGCCCTTCTGCCTGTGATGTCTTCCCTGTACGCCCTCCTGCCTGTGATGCCTTCCCTGTACGCCCTTCTGCCTGTGATGTCTTCCCTGTACACCCTCCTGCCTGTGATGCCTTTCCTGTACGCCCTTCTGCCTGTGATGTCTTCCCTGTACGCCCTCCTGCCTGTGATGCCTTCCCTGTACGCCCTTCTGCCTGTGATGTCTTCC